TTATGTATAATTACCATTTGTCAGACATACAGATTCATTTTAAACTTTTTCCTGTTCTAAATTCCAGTGCGATCATGATCATTGATTTAATTTACACTTTCATAATTATTTACTACACTAATTTTGGTACATTTTTTGAAAATATTAAATGACAGTTTTTTTTATTCCACTCCTTAATTTTAGTTCTAAATCTAGGTTTTGTAAACACACCAGTTTCTTTCAGCATGTCATTACTAGCTTTCTTTTCAAATATCCCCTGAATGTTTGTTGGCAGAGTACCTAAATTGGCTTCATACATGGTTTGTATGATTTTCCAGTCTTTTAAATCACGAAATTTCAGTAATTTATATTTAATAAACAATGGGTTCGATGGATCTCTACAGCCACTACAACTGATGATTCTTAGAGCTCTTTTCTGTCAAATAAGTAAGGGTTGTGTATAGTTTTTGTATGCTGCTCTACGCCAACTCAGTTCCTTTATGTTGTAGCCGGTTCAGTTCCTAGAATTTTCTGTTTCAGTTAAAGCTTAAGCCTGATGTGAGAGGCATTTTTGTTAAATAAATCCTTTTTATACTGGTTTTGCCTGTGTCACATGTCCTCCATGTTACCCCAGGTCCCCTAGACCCCTGGGTTGTAACATTTGGCATGATGGAATCCCAGAAGGTCCAAATAAAGGCAAATTGAATTTGTTTGTTGTTAGTAGACGCTTTTGTCCAAAGCGACTTACAGGTGATAATCAAGCCATCAGCTTGCCCTTGAACAACAAATACTATTCAATCAATCCTAGGTGTCAGTGAGGCAGCATGATTGATCATAGAGGGAAGCAAACATGGCGTGTGCAGTAGCGTGGGGGACAGGTGCTGGGAGGATGCTAGTTTAGAAAATGCTCTCGGAAGAGCTGGATCTTTATTTTAGACATTTCAATTCTTATCTGAGGAGCATTTTAATTTAAAATCCTTTAACGCTAACTCACTGTCCTGGTCCACACGAGAGACGTTTAGGTCTGAATACACACTTTAGGAGACCTGAAAGAGGTCACAGCTCTCCGTGTCAACAGCCAAAGCAACACCTTTTACCCATAATATCGTAGCTCAGCTTCCAACCTGACCTTTGACCCCATCCGACTGTTACACAGCTTTTTTTCTGCAAGATGAAATTAAGAGTAGATATCTATAGAATAGCATTTTTAACTGTTTTTTCCAGTTTTTATATTTTTTACTAAACTTAACACCAGAGACCAGAGGAGTGAGTCGTATCACATCAATCCATCCAGTTAAAAATCACCTAACGGTTACATCATCTACCACAATACAAAGTGTGAAACCCACAATATCATGGCGATTAAACACACACACACACACACACACACACACACACACACACACACACACACACACACACACACACACACACACACACACACACACACACACACACAACCACTGTGATGAAAATCCAAACAAAAGCTGCAGGATTAAAAACAGGGTGGGGGTGTTTGGGGGTGCCAATTGGGTTGATTGAGGACTGATTCTGAGCCAGTTGTGTGTATGTGTGTGTGTGTGTGTGTGTGTGTGTGACCAGGACAAGGTGTAAAGGAAGGAGGTGGTGGGGCTTTTATTGTGGCGGTCCACCAGGTTGATGAGAGGAGGTCAGCAGTCGCAGGATTACATCTTTAGATTAGATTTCCCCCTCGCCCCACCCCTCTGCCTTGGACTTTCATTGCTGGTTCATGTGTTCAGATTTCCTCTGACTCGCTGTAATCCCGGAGCGGGACAGTCCCTCTGCTCCACCTGAGCAACGTTTTAAACTCTAAATGATCTGCGGACGTTTGTCGGGTTTGGAGGCAAAGCGTCACCTCATCAGGTGTTAAACTGGACCCAAGTAAACAGTCGGTGGTGTTTACAGAAACTCAGCAGCAGAATAACAAGCAGAGCAGAAAAAAAGGAGAAGAGCTGAAAGATTTCTTTTGTTTGGTCTGTTTTTAAAACTTCTCACCTTCCTCTCTCACAGATGTAAAGTGAAATAAACTCCGAACAGATCCGGTCTGCAACAGAACCAGCCAGACTGGAGATGAAACCAGGACGTGTGATATTATCTCAAAGTTCATCTCTGTGAATCATTACATCACATCCTTTTATTGCCTAGAAAGCTTTATGTTTGAATGAAAGTTAAAAATGTTACGTTATTTAATTAAAGTTATATATCAACTTTTTTATTGTATCCTCTTGTTTCAGATTTTCTCAGCATCACCCCGAAATTATCTCCAATAAGACTGTTTATCACCCTGAAACCGCAACCAATCAGCACCCACGGGACCCTGCGAGTTCCTGATGTTAACATGAACTTTGGTTTCCATGGCAACGCTCTAATCCCTCACAGGGGATTACATGGTGAAGTAATTTTGGGAGGATCAGATGATCGGAGGGATTTGAAACGTATCCCCAGATGGAAGAACAGGTGAGCGATGAACAAATGGAGGGAAGTGAAAAGAGAATCTCACCGATATCAGAGTCTTTGTGGTTTTTGATGAGCTCAGCGAGCTCAAAGTTCCCAGCAATAATGGCCACCTGCAGAGAGAAACAGGAAGAGGTTTAAGGAGGAGAACAGAACCTTAATGCAAACAGAACTTCATGAACTCCTGATTAGAAGTCGTTTACACTAGGGGTTGTATGAACTAGTCGACTTCACGGCTCTGTAGTGACTTTTTATGCCTGTCATCGACTAATCGCTGTCACGTGATAATGACAAGATGCAATCCTCGGAAAAGACAGCAGGTGATGAGCCCCTGCGCGTCGGGAGGCGGAGGCGACGCGCTGTGTCAGAGCGTCGACACCAGCGGTAAAACGGACATTTAACCAAACTGTGACCTTTTCCCTCTTGCAATTTAACCTTCCCCTCACCCCCATCCTAATCTTAACCAGTTTGCGCATGCAAAGCTCTGATCGTTGATGCACTCCAGACATCCGCGTCCTGAGCACCGCCACATCAGGTGTCACCACCTCAAAAACAAATTAAACATGCGATCGTTCATGTCGGCTCATTTCCTTTTATGTTTTCTGTCTGTTATTTGTGCCTGATGCGTTTTGCTGCTGCGGTGCGAGGCGCATCGCCTGTTTTGTCCTCCGGTGACGCACCCCCAAAATTCCACTATCTCCGCTCCGCTCTGGCATGAACTCCGCAGCAAAAACGGTCCCGTTGTAGTTGGCCGGCGAGCAGCAGCACTCCGCTGTTTTAGCGGTCGGTAGATCTTTTAGAACTGCAGTTCAAAGGTAACTCATAAGGTGAATATATATGAACCCAGGTAGCAGTTTTTCTTTAGGATTGAGAGGAGATGCAGGAAGATAATAAACAGGCAGGACAGAAAAATAGTCAAATAAAAACAAGTTAGTTTTTGTACCTGGTGGTTGCAACAAACAGACACCATTGAAGGTGGAAGTGAGGAACAGAAAATGAAATAATTATTTTAATGTTTAGAGCAGCAGGAACTCCGAGAGGCTGCAGGCGCATCAGTGAGTTTGCGGCTGCTGCGCAGGGGGAGGGGGGAGAGGGCTGAAGCAGAAACTACCGTTGCTAAAAGGAGATGTGTTAACTTAGAAAATGTGGGCGTAATTTTAATTGTCAAAAACTCCAGCGAACCTACCGACCCCCCCCCCCCCCCCCCCCCCCGTGCCGCTTCAGGTGTATGACGTCATCAACGACTAGTCGAAGTCGACTCGTATTTCATTACTTGACGGTCGACTTGAAAAAAAATTAAGTCATGCAACCCCTAGTTTACACATGTGTACGTGACGAGGGAGAATAATTCATCAGGTTGAAATCTTTACCTGCTAGACATGATTTTATCACATTTTCATGTTCTGCACATTCATGCTTAAGTTTAAAAAACTTTTCTGATTCAGTTTAATCTGAAAACAAAACATCTGCATCTGATATATTAAGAGATCTATGATCAACAGAAATGTTAAAGCTGCTACTGGTGGCTCATAAAGATCACCGTGGTAACCACACACCTGTCAATCTTGCCAACAGTAAGCTGAATGAAAGACAGACAAGAGGAAGGACAGAATAAAACCTCTGATAACCCCTCAAAGACAAAGGGAGCCTAAGTCTCCTCCCTCTCCGGTCGGCTCATGGGTCCCCGGAAGAACGAAAAAATGAATGCGAGTCAACAGGGCTAACAGAGCTATTTTCTAATCCGCTTTGCCTTACGCCCTGGACCCCACATATGTTGTTCTGCAATTTCAATGAAAACTAATGATGTGTGTTTCAACCATGCCAGTCACATACTTTGAGATTTAGGCCCTGTCCACACGTAGCCGGGGATCTGCCAAAACGTAGATATTTTTCTACGTTTTGGCCTGTCATCCACACGAAAACGGAGTTTTTTCAAATGAAAACGGATCTTTTTAAAAACTCCGGCCAAAGTGAAGATCTGCGTTTTCTCTGTTTTGGGTGTCTGCGTGTGGACAGACAAAACCGGAGTTTTAAGGTCCGCAGCGTCACTTTCCGCGACAAAAAAAATGCTGACATCACGTGTGCGACCTGTGTTTACACTAGCCGACAGCATGGATGCCCTCAGAGCTGCGCTCGCTTTATCAGTTGTCCAAGCGCTTTTTGCTTGTTTGTTTTTGCAAGCGGAATTACTGCTCCTTGTGGAAGACCACAGACGAAGGACGGGGTTAAGAACGGGGGAAGTACTGCCGCCTACAGGTCTGGCATGTCCTTAACAACGTATTTATCCGGGTACGTGTGGACAGAGTTTGTTTTTAAAATGCGGTGGTGTGGATGCAAGTTTTTTGGAGGGGCGGATATTTGTTTTTAAAAAACCCCAGCTACGTGTGGACTAGGCCTTAGTTTGGAAATGTTCATAATTAGCATGACTGTCCACAAATCAGATACCGGCGCGTCACACATATGATGTCACCACATAATCTCCTCTCCTCTAGTGTAGCTGCTGCTTGCCAAATGGCCAGATTTATGGTGTTTTTTTTCTCCTGAAGGATGGATTTTAAGTTTTAACTTACAGCCATTTTTTCTGTTTTTCTTCGTGTCCGGTTCGATGATGTCACTTTCGTGAAGCGCATTTGTAGTCCTGGACTTATTTTCACACAAAACCTAAAATCACGTTTCCCCCCGTTCAAAAATAAGCATTTTCTTGGCATGAAAATGCGTCTTTAAAATTAGCAGACATCAAATCCATGACACAAAACAAGCGGAATTAGAAAATAATTTCAGCCCCATTGACTTACATTCATTTTTTTCTTCTTCTGGGGACCCGTGGTCTGGAAGTAGGTGGGCGTGACTTAGGCTCTCTATCGGTCAACCAGGCGAGGAAGCCCCTCCCCCTCTGTAGCTCTATAGCTCAGGTAAGCTTCTCAGTAGAAACATAATCCAGAGTCTTAACGAGTCACAGTAAGTTCTGATCTTTTTGAGGTGACCATAGACAACCTCGTCTTCTTGTTCACACACATCTTCTGTCTTAGTCCAAAATGTGGACATCTCTTTTTTATCATGGAGTGTCTTCATACAGAGAATCAGATCCTCTTAGGTGTTTTTAGTTAATATTTTTTCACAAAGTATAGGTTTAAACTTAAAAAAAATAACTATGCAGCATTTTCAACTCATAATTGTTAAATATTAAAAACAATTTAGAGTTTTTTTCCTAAATATTCCCATATAGTAACAGCAAATTCTAAAATCTTAGAACATGAGTAGTTTTACTTGTTTTGATCTCTGATGTCATAATAAAGCCTTCTGTGTGTCCACCAGGGGGCAGTAAAGGGATTTCAAAGCCAGCAGGACCAGGAGGTTCTGATTGACCCAGATGGTTCTGGCTGCTGTCACGTTGCTGCTTACTGTAATTTCTTGAGTGTTGAAAGGCTTCTGAGCTTACAGTAGGCCTGGAGTCAGGAGCATCCCATCAGTGGAGTAAAAATAGACGGGTTCATTTTCCTCTGATGTGTCGAACACACATCTCAAGGGAAACACAGCAGTGTTATGTAAGCAAGCCTCCTCTGGTTCCTGGAGAACAAATATTCTGGACGAGGAGCAGGATGGAGAGCAGGTGTGTTATTAAAGCAAAACCCAATATCTGCGTCCATACAGCAGACTTCTTCACATCCACAGAGCAAAACTCCAGTAAAGGACAGGTTTTCCATCGGGATGTCGCCCTTAGAAACAGGCAGATCAGATCCGGACCATAAATGAATGTTTGGAGCTTTTTTATTGAGAGAAACTCTGCAGATTCCTGAGAGGATGCTGGGTCTCATTCATCCAGAGCGTATCCTAAAGTGCATTAAAGCAGCTTTATGGGGAAGCGTAAATTCTTCTTCCGGCTCTTGGAGGGTACAGATGCTTTTTTCCTCCTCTCCTCCCTATCTTATCCCCAAGGCTCTTTGTCTGCCTTTGGGTGTACGGTGCTTCTGCATTTTTTCTGGAAACTGGAAATTATTAAAAACGGACCTGGTCAGTTGGTCTCTCAACGCGATTGACAAAATTTTCTCAACAATGAGAATGGGAGAAGGGGCTCTCGGATGCCCCTCTGGGACAGATCCAGTTGGGCATATCATGGACTCCTGGAAACAGTGGAACCTGATCTGCCTCTCTCAACTGTCTGTAGAGGATTCTGAAGACGTCTGGATATTCGTGGTGTTGGTGTCAGGTTTCTTGCTTTTTGGCCTGGGCGGTTACCTGGCTTACCGGAAAATTAACGAGCTGTCGAGGAATATTGGCTCTTTCCCGGAGCTCAAGGATGATTACACCGCGCTGTGAATGCATAAACTCATATAATTGTCGAGATGAGTCGTAAGCTTGGAACTTTGGCTGAGATTCATGCATTGGCACAAAAGATGGATGTAATCAAGGAGCCAGGGGACGAATCAGCATAGATTAATTACGCCATTATTGGACTTTGTGAGGTTGAGGACCAACGGAACTTTAAAACAGAGAATAAATTATCTCTGTCTGGCCCCAAAACAATTTCTTAACTGAATCTGGTGCCCTTGAGCCTGTGAGGCTGAAACGAATACCCCCCCCCAAGAAATGTGGAATACTGCCGTCGCCATGGCAACTCTGGCCCTGTCCACACGTAGCCGGGGATCTGCCAAAACATGGATATTTTTCTACGTTTTGGCCTGTCATCCACACGAAAACGGAGTTTTTTCACACGAAAACGGATCTTTTTAAAAACTCCGGCCAAAGTGAAGATCTGCGTTTTCTCCGTTTTGGGTGTCTGCGTGTGGACAGACAAAACCGGAGTTTTAAGGTCTGCAACGTCACTTTCCGCGACAAAAAAATGCTGACATCACGTGTGCGACCTGTGTTTACACTAGCCGGCATCATGGAAGCCCTCAGAGCTGCGCTCTGTCACTACCCGATCCATCAATTGTCCAAGCGCTTTTTGCTTGTTTGTTTTTGCAAGCGGAATTACTGCTCCTTGCGGAAGACCACAGACGAAGGACGAGGTTAAGAATGGGGGAAGTACTGCCGCCTACAGGTCTGGCATGTCCTTAACAACGTATTTATCCGGGTACGTGTGGACAGAGTTTTTTTTAAAACGCGGTGGTGT